ATGGAACTGAAGTAGATAGTCATCAGTGCATGTAGACCTGATTGGTCACATGGACAATGCAGAGTTAATGACTCGCATCTGAATGATTATTTTGAAGATAGTCGTCCTATTTTCTATTTCTAACAGTCGAATTTGTATGGAGGAAGTCGAATTTGTATGGAGGAAGTCAAATTGAAATGCTGCACGATATTACTCCCGTACTCTGCAGGCGCTAGCCTTGGTCCAATATCCTTCCACCTTAAACAATGCCAGCATTCGTCCCGTCTCTATTACCTCTAGCTGTCGACCCAGCGTTGGTGGGCATATTGATGATGTTATCAACCATCAACTCTTCATCAATTCTTGTCATCAATTTCTTCGTGTTTGGCAATAGGGGCGCCACTTTCAATAGGGCCATTTCCTTCCTAATAGTGGGTCATTTGCGCAACCGTTTAATCTCCTTGTCAGCTTGAGGATGATGATATTGTCAAAAGGCGAGACTTGATACCTCAACTAGGATCGATCTCCAATGTTGTAGAAAGGATACGACGCCAAATAAAATTCTCAAAACAATTCGATACATAATCGATAGACCTTGGTTGATTTCCCATAGTGGTTGATTTCCCATATTGGTTGATTGATGGATTCGTTGATCTCTTTGGAAACAAAACAAAAGAATCGTTTGGTGAGAGAAAAAATCGTTTGGTACCAAAACAAATCGTTTGGAGAGAGAAAAAATCGTTTAGCAACCAAACAAATCGTTTGGCTACTAGAGAAAAAATCGTTTGGCGACCAAACAAATCGTTTGGCTAGAGAAAGAATCGTTTGAAAAAAGTCGTTGATTATTGAGGATTGAGATAGACCGATTATGCGACACTGTCAATACCGCTCTTAAATAATTTAGATGTTTCTTTGCCAATCCTCATCGGCACGCGACCAAAACCCCATCGAATTTTTTCTGTTGTTTGTTTTTGGGTTCACGATCGATTTGAGGGGTTTCAAAGCGATGGCACCAAAATACCAACCCCCTCACAGGGGTACGTGCAAATTCAACGCATGCAAATCGCGCGTTTGAGAAAACTTGCGGTGGGTCCTGGGGAGAGAGAAGAGTCGAGTCTCTCAACCCAACTTGATACCCTAACCCAACCCCAACCCTCCACATTCCTCCTGCTACCGGTACCGGTACCTTTACGACAACGGGTAACCTACACAGGAGGTACCGGCGAAACTGCGGCCGCAGCACGCAGCACCCCAGTGACATGCATCCCTCGGATCCTTCAAACAACTCTGTGGCTCTGTTATCATTATTATTGTGGCTGCGTGCGGCAGCATCCATTCCCGCCCAGGATCCTCCAACCAACTTGACAAATCATATGGCGTATTGTACCACACTGTACCAGATTCCACCAGTATAGCCTTCATGGGTGTCTTATGTTGCATTATCTTGTATTCTTCAGTACTCAATGTCTGCATTAAGGGTGGAATAGCTTTGAAACGAATTTCTTCACAATTGGACAGGATGGTTAAACCGCAAGCAGGAAGAACAAGAATACCAGCGCCTTCGTGAGTTGGCAAGACCACAGACTACAATAGAATATCAGGTTGGATTGATAGAAATAGATTAGAAACATAATAGAAGAACAGGTTGCTCAGCCATCAATTGTTCCGTCATCACTTATTTATCGAATGCCAAATGGTGTGATTTTGTGATTCTTGTTGCCATCACGGCATGCTACCGGTATGACCTTGCACGTAAAACTATTCAAGGGTATATTGGGGAAAAGGCAGAAACTCGATTGGTCGAGGAGATCGCATTGAGAAAAATAGATAAGGAACTTTCATCAAACCACATAGTACTTGCACGTAGACTCCACGCAGACTCTGACCTGACTACCACAAACGTAAAAAAGTATCACAAAACTCGGTAAAGTCAAATCTCCAATGACAACAAAAAACAGTTGTCTCAAAGCAGCTATAGCAACATCATAATGGAGGTTCCCAACCCATATGGAAACCCATAACTGATGCATCCGTTGAACGCATACAATTCTTGGCCGCATGGTGCACTGCAATTCAGAATCAGAATGGTGGTGCCACAAATAAACCAATGGGGCGGCAAAGCCAAACAAGGTTGCCAGTGTACAAAGGACTTCAATACCGAGTAGTAAAGAGAGCTCAAGCTTACACAAGGCCTATCAGCAGACCTCTTATTCAGCGAGCAGTCGAAGATATAAGTCAGAGAGCTTTTGATCCAGATAAGGACTGTATTATCTGCAGGGCAGTGGCTCGGAACCAGCGAAAGCCACATCGGAAACACAATCCTCGTTGTGAAAGCAACACTAAAACTCGTGGACATTCTGCTACAGAAGTGGCAAGTAATCGATATTCAGCGTACCTCAAGAGACACTTCTCTGCTAGAATGACTGATCCTGGCAAGGAAAAACAGCTGACGGGCGGAACCACTCCAGGGGTTGATCAGTATTTGGTAAGAACGGTGAAGAAGTACCAGAGACTTCACACAGGAAAGGTCCCTGTGATGGAAACCGATTCAGCAGTTGCAAGTAAGATGCTTGCGCCGACAAGTTCTCTGCAGGAAGTGGCCATATTTTTGGAGAAGAGCATTGCAACAAGACTGAAACAAGCGCCACCAAACAAGACAGTCCCACCTGCAATGTTGGCCTTGGCAGTCAAGATTACGGATCAAGTTTGGCACAAAAAACCAAAGTGCATTGCCGAGTCTGCGTCGCCACCACAGAGTCAATCATTCAAGGAAGCAAAAGCTAGATTCGATGCAATTTTTGGGTTGAACAACATGTATATACGGTTCCATATGTGATGGACTCAAGACGTTTGATTGACCCACATTTCCATTCCCTTGCCGGGTCCAAATTTATCTATATGGACTTTGAAGTCGCTTTTCCAAACTTGGAACTAGCTTGCTATCAATATTCATCTAATGATCTATCTCGAGAACGTGATTATTGGAGTCACCACAAGCGTCTGTTTCCGGTTGTTGATGATTCAACTGAGATTTGGTGCCTACCATTCTGGTACCAATGCAACTGTTGCAAACACATCTTCTCAACAAATGAAGGACGGTTTCTTGCGACCCTTCCAGTATTCATCCGCAACCAATACCCTGTTGACCCAAGGTATGCAGATGGTCCCCAGCAAACTCACATATCGAAGCCGCTAACTGGAGACATGGAGGAAGGCATGTTGCAGTTCTCCAGTGCAGCTCAATTTACAAAGAAGATCTACAGACGAAAAAATGAAGCATTTCTTGAGAAGATGGAAGACTATTACAGCAGGCCAAACATTGCTGGAGCTTATCCACCAATACAAGAGGTGGTTCGAACATATCCACCGTCAGATCAAGATTGCCGAAACCAATTCAGATACGCTCAGGATTCGATCCTTAATCCAGAGGGAATGGCAGCAAATGATCGATTTGAGCGTATGATTCAAGCAACAAGCATTGGAGAGCTTCTTGCGATTGACCATACCTTTGAGACTCTGAAGAACTATCGATTGGAAGGTGGCAAAGCGATCTTTACAGTCTTGAATGAAAAGGGTCAGATTTGCACCCTGGGGATTGTTGCGTCGCAGAAGCTTCAAGAGGTCGACCACCTTTTGAATGCGATGTTGAAGCAAAAGGGGATGAATTTCAATGACGGCAAACGGCGAGGGCTGTACACCGACACATGGCCGAATAGTAAGACCTACTGGATCAAGCGCCTTGGTCCAAACACGGAAGGGACACTGGGCCTCTTCCACTTTAACCAGCGAGTCACAAAGCTTCTGAACCCAATGCATCCACACTTCCATCTGGTAAAAGATCGCTTTCAAAGGTCTGTCTATAGGTACAATCAAGACGACATGGATGGATTAATGAAAG